GTCCGCCGCCGATCCGAGTTGGGCTCACCGAGTCGGCGGGTCGGGGCGTGTTCGCGACGCGGAGAATCGTAGCTGGCGATCTTATTCACACCGCGAAGCCTGTGGTGGCTTACCCTTCTCTTTCCTCTCTCGATTCTGTCTGCTACCTTTGCCTCAGAAAACTCAAGGAATCTGCTAAGATTCAAGTTGGGGATGTTTCGTTCTGCAGAGAAGATTGCAAAGTCAACGCAAAGGTTTAAGCTTTTGTTATGTGTTTTGTCTGTTTCATTGTTCCTGTGATGCCATTTCTTGTTCTTTGTCACTGTAGCAATTGCGTGTTTCAGTACTATATCGTATCCGTGAGAATATGCCCACCAGGTGTTTGAAGAAATGATCCTGCTTTGAAATAGTATTGGGATCCTTTATTTTGAATTAATTTTCAGTTTCTTCACATGTTTCCTTATTCTGAATGATTCTGTCAAGCAAATTCGTTGATACAATCATCCAGGATCTTGGTTTTGTAATCTGAATCATCCCCCCCCCCCTTGTAAAACAGTGAGGAAAATCACTCTTTTTTGTGGTCAAAACAACGGCTTTTGTTCCTGTAATAAGTGAAGTGTTTCCTGGTCTGTCTATTCAGATTTCATGGGATCCGTTTCCATGATGTTTTGCAGGGTTTCTACGATGTTGAAGCAAGAGCAGATTGGTCAAGTTTTCTTGATTATTGTAGGTATAACATCAAGCCTTATACTTTTGGTTCCTTGGTTTGGAGATATGAACATAGATTCTTCTTTTTGCTCATGATATCATCCCCTTTTACGAATATTGGTTTCTTACGATTTGGTGCTAATTTTATAACCTATTCTTAGTGAAGATTTTGCCACATGAATTTCGGTTTCATGGTCCGGTCCGGTCATTTGGTGTCACTTCCATTATGTTTTGGTCAGGAAACGAGTCTTATCTCCTTTAGCCTTTTCTGTCTTTTTAGTAGCTTCGTTGAGATTAGGAGTACTAAAGTCATAACCGTTTTATATTTTGTTCTGCCAAGACCAAAAGGCTGTCATCTGGTTTACCGTGCGTATCTTTCCTCTGCTATTAGTAGAAACAGGACGTTCTTAATATCTTTTAATGGCGTGTCTTGATAATAAACTCCATTTTATCTTCTTGTAAGGATGCACAACGTCAAGTACCCACTTATGGTTAAGCGGTTGGCTTGTATGATCATATCGGGTGGTCAATCAGCCGATTGTCTTGACATACTTCAACCTGCTGCTTTGTCTTCTGAGATGATTACAAAGGTGAGATTCTGAATATCAGAAACAATAATGAAATTCTGGCATTTGAAACAGTGACATGTAAGATTCAGGGCATGAGAGTTACTCAAAATGAAATCCAGGTTTCTTTCCCGGAGTTTCTTACATACAATTTGGCTGTTGCTCATGCTTCCACTACGTGAAAATCCAGCTTCTTGTTGTTATTCATAATAACGATGGATTTTATGATCTGCTTAAATTACCCGGATGGTCATAAACTTGTTACTGAAACTACTGTTTTTCAGATGGAAGAAGGTTTTGGTATGCTATGGAACTCCTTCAGGAAGGCAAATTTCAAGGATGAAGATGTTGCTTGTATCCTCTTTGTCATTGCAGCATATTTACATCTGTTATTGTTTATTTCCCTTATTCTGGTTTTCTTCCATCATTTTGCTTTAAATGATTATTCCTTAACATGTTGAGTTCTAACCAAACAATGGTACATGGGTGTGCTTGCACGGATTCGTATCAATGCATTTCGTGTTGAACTTGTTGGAAGCTCATGGGAAGATATATTTTCGCTTGCTTCTGCTTCTGTTGAAGGTGAAGCTAATGTTGGCCATGCTGTCTATTTGCTTCCTTCCTTCTACAATCATGACTGTGGTAAAACCCTTTTTCCCACCTCATTTTCCATTTGCAAATGCTCTCATAAATCATCACAAAACATGACATTAACCCTTAGTACCCGTTATATAATCTACTCGCTTGTGTAGTATACCATGTTCGTTCCAACCACGTTGAGAGATGTTGCACTGCTAATGGAACTATGCCATGACTTGTTTGAAACTATACTGTGAAAATGCTCTCACAGATCATCACAAACACATCCAGATACATGATCGGGATTCCAATACCGTCAATCCTTTAGAACCTGTGATACCGTGTTTGTTCCAACCACGTTGAGACTTGAGATGTTGCACTTGTAATGAAACTATGCTACGGCTTGTTTGAATGGTACAGATCCAAACGCCCACATATTATGGATAGAGAACACAGACGCAAGATTGACGGCTCTTCGTGACGTCGAGGAAGGTTTTTTTTTTCCCTTCAAAGCCCTAACACCGAGCTTTCTCCTCGTCTCGTAAAACCCCCGGAAACTTGATCATTTGTTTTTTTCTGCAGGAGAGGAGCTGAGGATATGTTACATAGATGCAAGTATGGGATATGAAGCTCGGCAGAGGCTACTCTCTGAAGGGTTTGGTTTCTGCTGCAACTGCTTGCGCTGTCAGTCCCGTGACTGAGGGGGGAATGCTTTCCCCTTCCTCCTTCAGAGGCAGAGCCGATCAAAGAAAGCTTTTGTACAATCTTGTAGCTACTGAGGTATTGTGTTTCTTTTATGGGTCCTTGGATTTGATCTCTTCCAAGAGTTCTGTTTGTGCCGCTCTGTCGATTTTGTGACGTTGAAGTTAAATAATCTGAGAACTTTACATGATGGTTTTAGCGTGTATATATTATTAATACGTTTTCTATTTCGGTAGAATTCCTTTGATTCTGTAAGGAAACTTCTTCCCGAGATGACAATATCTCTCTTCTTGAACAGAATTCTTGGAATCCTAAAGACAGGGGATTGTGTAATAAGGGGCGTTGAGGTTATTCTCGCTGCTTACCAAATCTTTTTTTTTTTTTTTGTCTCATGAAAGTTATATTTTCTTTCTCATAAAAATCTTCGTTTTCTTTTTCTTTTAAAGATTTGGAACTGATATCGCGTTTATTAATCGGTTAATTACAAGGCGAAAAGATTGATAAGCAATCTTTAGTCCTGTAATAATTCTTTGAAATATTCAATGTCCGGAAGAAAAGGGGAAGAAGGTGGTTTCATCATCTTTGGCCCTTGGAGCCAAACCAACCATCTTTCTTTCCTCTTATAAAAACAAACACCAAAAGCCTCTTTTAGTTATCTCGCCGCCATAAAAATAAAAGCTGCTGTTAGTTTACTTAATCCCTTTCTAATTTATATATCTTGTTGGTCCATCACAAAGGTAATGAATGCCTTGTAGGTTAAGTTAAAGTTTACTGGTAGTCAGTCACCTGTTTCTTAACCAACAAGTTTTCTTAATTAAAGACGAGATTCTTGTTTGTTCATTAGGTTTTTTTCTTCTTCTGCTTCTTCTTCCTCTTCTTCCTTAGTTATCTCTCTATCGTTCTGCAATGACTCTCTTTCTATTTCTTGTTTCTTAGCAGCAATGGAGGCTCTCTTCCTGAGTTCTTCTTCTTCCTCCTCCGTTACAGCATCAAACAAGCTTGCGAGATTATACAATCTCCGTGATCGGTGCTCATTGGCCAGGGAGAAGAAAAGGGTTAGTCTCAGTTGGGGCCGAGGAAGCGATAATACTCTTAGCAAGACGGGCAGTGGCGGTTTCGTGAATAGGCCTCTTTGGATTTCTTCTGAAGGGAAGGAGAGGGCGAAAGTATTGATAAGGGAGGAGAGTTCATCCACGGCAGCAGCCATGGATGCTGATACATTGGTTTTGTCTCCAAATGGGAACGGAAGAACAGCGATAGAGATCAATGGAGCAAAGAGTTTGGTGCCTTTCAATGGAACTGCTTCTTTGGTGGGTCTGAAAGAAGGGCTTGGAATCGTCAATTATCTCCAAGGGAAGAGCTTTTTCATCACTGGTTCAACCGGGTTTTTGGCTAAAGGTAAAGTATATATCTCGTCTAAACTTATTCACAATGTGCTGTAACTTGTTTTTATCCTTGTCTCTCTCTTGAAATCTTCAGTCCTTATTGAGAAGATTTTGAGGACGGCCCCCGATGTCGCGAAGATATATCTCTTGATTAAAGCTGATAACCGAGAAGCCGCAGTTGAAAGATTAAAGAACGAGGTAAGACCCTTTTCGTGATATAATCCGGTTTTACTTCTACTTCAGGAAAGTTTTGTGTTTGATCTTATTCTATTCATAACTCGGGTTCCTTTCCTTCTAGGTGTTAGATGCAGAGCTTTTCAAGATTCTAAAGGAAGCTCATGGACCAGCCTACAAGGCTTTCATGTTGAGCAAACTCGTACCTGTAACGGGAAACATTTGTGATTCGGACATTGGGTTGCAATCAGATTACGCTGAGGAGATTGCCCGAGATGTCGATGTGATCATAAATTCTGCTGCTAACACAACCTTTAACGAAAGGTTAGATCGGAAACTCTCTTCTGATTCCTAGCGTTTCATCAAGCTATGTGTATCTCAGTTTATAACTTTCCTTGCTTTCATGGAGAAATTGCAGATATGATATTGCTCTGGACATAAACACAAGAGGGCCATGTAATCTTATGAAATTTGCCAAGAAGTGCAACAACCTCAAGCTTTTCTTGCAAGTATCCACTGGTTAGTCCTTTGAGTCAGGAAAAAAATTAAGGAACACAGAAACAATCAACACAGAATCTATGTTTCGATATCGGGTGGAAAGAAAAGTATGTGATAGCTCTATTGTTTGAAAATTCTCCACAGCGTATGTGAATGGACAAAGGCAAGGAAGGATCATGGAGAAACCATTCTCGATGGGTGACTGCATAGAAACGGAGAATTTCACCCATGGGACACCTTTTTTAGATGTTGAGAAAGAAATGATGCTGGCTTCTGATGCAATAAACGGGTTTCAAGACCACGAGGAGGCGCAGAAGATGAAGGACTTGGGTCTAGAAAGGTAATCTTTGACAAATGATGAGAATTTCTCGTGCCTTTCGGTCCAATGCCATGAATTAGAAACCCTTATCCTCGGGTAAAGTTGATCATGTGAACAGGGCAAGAACGTTTGGATGGCAAGACACTTATGTGTTCACTAAAGCAATGGGAGAGATGATGATCAATAACATCCGAGGAGATGTGCCTGTCGTTATAATTAGGCCTAGTGTCATTGAGAGCACATACAGAGACCCATTTCCAGGATGGATGGAAGGAAACAGGTCATAGGAACTAAGACATACATGCCGCATATACATTACATATGCGTATATGTACATACACCGATTACATAACAACACTATCATATGCATATGTTTGTATATCTAACAGGATGATGGATCCTATAGTTTTATGCTACGGGAAAGGACAGCTCACAGGATTCCTCGTGGACCCGAAGGGAGTTTTGGATGTGGTATGCTCATTTACATGAATGATATATATATATATATACGTATGTATATCCGTGTGTCATGTATGTAACGTTTCCTTCTTGCAGGTGCCTGCTGACATGGTTGTCAATGCAACCCTAGCTGCTATAGCGAAGCATGGAATGGATCAAGAACCGGAAATAAATGTGTATCAGATTGCTTCTTCGTTGATAAACCCGCTGATTTTTGAGGATTTGGCCATACTTCTTTACGAGCACTACAAATCTTCCCCGTGTGTGGACTCGAAAGGCACGCCCATTGCGGTCCGTCTGATGAAACTCTTCGACTCTGTTGATGATTTCTCGGATCATCTTTGGAAAGACGCTCAAGAACGAAGCGGGTTGACGGCTATGACCTCTTCGGATGGAAAGATGATGCAGAAACTCGAGTTCATCTGCAGAAAATCAGTGGAGCAAGCAAAGTACCTTGCTGATATATATGAACCCTACACATTCTATGGAGGAAGGTAAGCAAAAACCGATGGAAAAGAACGATTCTATTGGACTTTTGGAAACATTTTGAAAAGAGGGTTCATAGTCATTTTATGCATTGAACATCCATATATAGGATCAAGATGTTATATATCTGATTCGAGAGCTCGGTGTCTGAATGTCTTTTTGCAGGTTTGATAACAGCAACATGCAGAGATTAATGGAGAGCATGTCGGAGAAAGAGAAGAGGGAGTTCGGGTTCGATGTCGGGAGCATTGTCTGGAGAGATTACATCACAAACGTTCACATTCCCGGTTTGAGAAGACATGTCTTGAAGGGAAGAGCTTAACTCGATATCGACAAAAACCAAAGAAAAAAACTCTCTTGTCTTTTTTTCCTTGCTCTCTCCATCTCCATAGGTGTGTTATTGTGTTCTATCACTAGTTTGTAATAACTTGAAAACCAAAAGGGACGTTATTTTTCAGATTTTATCAAGACAATTCATGAAAGAAGATGAGCAGAGAAAGGTTTGTTCATGTTCTGTAATATAACTATAACTTATCAAGCAGCTTATGATTAATTAAATGACGTGAATCTGAAGTCTTATCTGATAGATTCAGAGGGGGAAGATATGCATGATGGGGAGTTTATATACACACACACACACACATATATATATATATATATATATATATTGCATATTTCCGTGAAATTAACATATATAACTATGAATGCATAGAAGAAGAAGATGATGATGATGATGCATGAACTGAAATGTCTTCAAAGAACCATATTAATTAGTGTCCGAACGCAAATCCAAATCCGGAGGTTTCTAGCTTTGTGAGTAAATGACACACGAATTAACCGAAGAAACAATAAAACGAAATTAAATCACAAGTTACAAATAAAAAACATCTCCTCAATCATCCCTTATATATATATATAATTCACCACACAAGATCCTTCACAAACCAAAAAAGCAAAACAGCAAAAAAAAAAAAAACATTATCAAGATATGGGGAAGACATTGTTCTTGTCTTTGACTTTGATGACATTGTTCTTAACCACCATGGCATCTTATCCACCCTACGCGTCCGCAGACGACGGAAAACCGATCATCGATCCAAACATCGATTGGGAACATTCACTAGGCCGATCCCGGGAAGCGTACGATTATGATCGAGATCTGCTCAGTAGATATCCGAGCGGATACCTTAGAGATTTGGTCCGGAGATGCCATCGAGAAAGCGATGAATGCGTTGAGGAGCAGTTAGAAGAGATATTACAGAACAAAAGAGCTTCGGATACTTGCTGTCTTGAATTGCTGGAGATGGGCAAAGACTGTCACATTACAAAATATAAGGTTCTGTTCTCGTTGTATGAGTTAAAGGAATATGCCTCTAGGGCTATTCCCAAGAGTTATATGCTTTGGGACCGATGTTATAGGGATGTCGGGCCCCATGCACCCTCTGCATGATCCATCTAATTAATTAAACTATGTCATATACATTATACATATATATATATAATTATATATGAGTGTGTTATGATATATATATTATGACAAGTTTATTGATGTTTTTATTTATGTTATGTCGGTTTTCAGACATCTTTTTTCTCCAACCAAATTCCCTAAACATTTTTGTTATATGACTAGAATATTAATTTGCTAATTAAGAAAACCTAATGGAGACAAAACCCTACGTAATATATTCAAAATCAAACTGAACATGACAATATATAACCATATTTGTATCGAATTCAATCTGGAGACAAGGAATTTAGATTTGAGTTTTTTAGCCGATGAAGAAAGTTTATCATAACTTATAGCTCGTGCGTGTACGACAAATTTTTTTTTTTTTATAATCGGGTGATCACAAACCCAAAGGTTCAGACTAATCCCGACCCACGCGTACGATCCTGCAACACACACGTGAGATGTGAAACACCCGAATATGGCAGGAGGGGAATCTCCATACTCTGGGTATTGAACCCACACCTCATTTACATGAAGGGATTTCTCAAACCAACAGAGTTGGGATTCCCCAAAAGCGTATACGACGAATTCTTTTAGCTTAATTGATAAATGTGTTTTTTTTAGTTTATGTTTTTTTTGTAATGGGGTATCCAAAGGCGAGATCAAACTAACTGTGGGATGGGGAGCAAGTTTATGTTGTGTTGATTGTTTTGGTAACTAAATACACGTGTTGAAATTTCTACCTAAACCACAAAAAAAACCATATAAAACCAATTAATTATATAAAAAAAACTATAGAACACCAACTATTAGAAGAAAAAAAAAAGATGGGTATGAGCCTCATAATAATGATGTAACGGCTATGAATAAATTCTACTCCCTCGATTTCTTAATAGATGCCGTTTAAGAAGATATATTTTGTTACTTAATAGTAGGGATGGTCATTTTGATTATTAACCGAATAACCGAGCCGAACCGAATCGAATAAGACATAACAGTAACCGAACCAACATCATAACCGAACGGTTATGATTTCTTTAAATCCGAAAAAATAAAACCGAACCGAACCGAATCGAATATAAAATAATCGAAAAAATCGAGAAAAAAACGACAATTTCTTTGGAAAACTGAACTTTTTACCTAAATCGAATCGAAAAATAACCGAACCGAAATTTATATAAAAACTGAATGGTTATAATTTTTCTATAACCAAAATAACCAAACCCGAATATAACCGAAACTCGAATTGGCTACCCATACTTAATAGATGTCATTTTAGATTTTTTAGGTAATTTTTTATAAAAAAAAAATCCAATTTTAGCCTTGATTTTAATAACCCAAGTTAAATAGAGTATAATGAGAAATAATTTAATGAGGATATATATATATATATGATTTTTTTTATAATTTTTTAAAAAGTGTAAAAAAATCTAAAACGTCAATTATTTAGAAACGGATGGAGTAATAATATATAACTAGGGAAGAAGAAGGAGGAGGCCGAGGTTGTTAACTACATGTGAACTTAATTGTGTTCAATTAATGAACCATATTAATTAGTGTCCGAACGCAAATCCAAATCCGGGGGTTTCTAGCTTTGTGAGTAATTGACACACGAATTAATTCAAGAAACAATAAAACGAAATTAAATCACAATTAATTACAAATAAAAAAAAAGCATCTCATGATCATCCTATATATATATATATATGATTCAAATACACAAGATTCTTCACAAATAAAAAAAAAAAACATTACCAAAACATGGGGAAGACATTGTCGTTGTTCTTGATGACACTGTTCTTGGCCACTCTGGTTTCTTATCCAACTCACGCATCCAAAGGCGATGGAAAACCGATCCTCGATCCGACCATCGACTGGCAGGAACAGATCGCACAATCCCCGGAAGCGACCGATTATAATCGAAGGACGTTGTTCAGAGGAAGAAGAGGGCGAGAAAATAGGCATTTGCTCAACATGTGCCACATATCAAGAGTGTGCGGCGACGAGGTTTATGACGAGATATTACAGAACAAAAGAGCTTCTGATCGTTGCTGCCTTGAGTTGATGTTGATGAGCAGAATGTGCCACATTGGAGTCGCTAGGATTTTGTTCTCGACCTATCAACTTAAAAAACATGCGTCCAAGGGTATTGCCAGGAGTTATATGGTTTGGGACCGATGTTATGGCGTTTCGGCTCGTGCACCCTCTGTATAATTGATCTAAACTATAATATATATATATATA